ATGACAGCAACCATGCTGGTGTTATAGGTATAGCAGTTAGAGAAGTGGTGGGGAACCACCAGCCAGCAAATCTAATTAGACCTACTAGGCTGTTTGGGCCAAGCCATGTCCACCTGCCCTACCTGGGGCAGGGAAAGGCACAGCTCTCTGCTGAAAAGTGGAGTTTACAGGAAGAAGAAGAGTTTGGATTTGATATCCCGCTTTATTATTACCTGAAGGAGTCTCAAAGCGGCTAACATTCTCCTTTCCCTTCCTCCCCCACAACACTTTGTGAGGTGAGTGGGGCTGAGAGACTTCAGAGAAGTGTGACTAGCCCAAGGTCACCCAGCAGCTGCATGTTGAAGTGCGGAGATGTGAACCCGCTTCACCAGATTACGAGTCTACTGCTCTTAACCACTACACCACACTGGCACCACTGATCAGTGGCACTTGGGCACCATGCTTTGCAAGCATGAACAGTCCCCTGAACTCTGGTGCCTGAAAAAAAACCATCACTTTGTAAGCACTGCCAATCAGCAAGTTGGTGCCTTTATTCATGCAGCTTGGTTTCTAACCACGCAGGTCACCTGACATCATTGTGACGTCAGGTGATTGACAAGTGGGCAACCACCAAAGTTGGTCCACAGGGAGTAAGACACGTATCCAGCTAGATCCGGTTCCTTACCCCTGAATTAGAGTATTGGGCTTGGAGTATAAGGAAAGCCTGCAGGATCAGGCCAGTGGCCCATCTAGTCTAGCATCCTGTTCTCATATTTGGTCAACCAGATGCCTAAGGGAAACCAGCAAGCAGGAGCTCCATACAAGAGCATTCGCCTTCCTATGCTTTCCAGCTCAGAAGCATACTGCCTCCACTTGGAGGCAAAGCTTAGATGTCATGACTAGTAGCTGCTGATCTCCTCATCCACCTCCCTGCTAACATCCAATGGGGATATAATATGAATGGTGATACTGCAATTACCATGTCTAGCTTTTACAAATTTTAATAGCAGCTGCTGGGGTGGAGGATCAGATCAGGACTATAGCCTACATAGAAGAGGTTTCTCCGCCCCCACACATTCTCCTACATACTTTGTCCTTAATGAACACCCCCACCTCTCCGCTTGATGATATTTGCACTGGAAGGAAAGCTTCCAAAGCCATTAAAACAAAACAGCAACAACAACAACAACAACAACAACAACAATAATAATAATAATAATAAATTATTATTATTATTATTTCATTATTTATACCCTTCCCATCTGGCTAGGTTTCCCCAGCCATTCCTGATTTTATTAATGATAATAATGAAAAGCGATAAAACAGCAAACATTAAAAACTTTCCTAAACAGGGCTGCCTTCAGAGGGATAATGCGAAGTCAGTCAGCCTACTTTACCTCATAGGTTGCTTTGTGGATACATAGACTGGAATTGTCATTAAAAGTAATATTTATATACTGCATTTCATTATATACAGTGGTACCTCGGGTTACATATGCTTCAGGTTACATACGCTTCAGGTTACAGACTCCACTAACCTAGAAATAATACCTCAGGTTAAGAACTTTGCTTCAGGATGAGAACAGAAATCGCGTGGCGGCAGCACAGCAGCAGCAGGAGGCCCCATTAGCTAAAGTGGTGCTTCAGGTTAAGAACAGTTTCAGGTTAAGAACGGACCTCTGGAACGAATTAAGTACATAACCAGAGGTACCACTGTACTTTGGTGCATGACAAACCGTGTATGTTTACCCTGGATGTGTTAGGTGGGATAAAAATTATCCCTTTCGTAAGCACCATTTCATTGCCCATCCCACTTCCTAAGGCAAGCATGGAAAACCTCTGGCCTATGAGCCAAACATGACCCATCTCTGTCCAGGCTTCAATATTCTCCCCAGGCCTCACCAATCCCATTCCATGTTCTCCTCGGGTGCCTTTCCCTTGCTGGAGCATGTCCTTGGAGTGTGGTATGCCTTTTGCTTGCCTGGTTGGAGGGTGGAACGTGCCTGTTGGAGTATCTGTGTACTGCCCCAATAGGTTTCCACGCACCTCGGGAGAAGTGTGTCAAAAATATGCCACTGAGGAAGGAATTGCTGCAAAACTCATTGAGCTTGGAATAAATCCTACTTCAAGCAGCTGCAGTGTTTTCCTCTTCCCCACCCCAACCTTGGAAGGTTGCCCATGAGGGCATTTGGTACTGAAAAAATGAGTTCTTAACCCCTGTATCGAAGTATCTCTTTCTTTTCCACTTAGCAGTAAAATATGCCTATTCTATTATAGGCCTCAGTACTAGAGCCTTATTTTCTCATACGTACCTTTCACCCCTTTTTAAATCTCGCTTTGTGGTTTTGCATCCTTAATGCTAACTCTTTTTCATCTGTATCCCACTTTTCACATTCTCTATCTCAAAATGGGGACATAAATTTCTTTCTCTGGACAGAGCTTGACCACAGCTCCAGGACTGGCCCTACTGTTAGGCAGTGGCGAAGTGGGGGGCAGCAGTAACAGTCCCACCACCATCCTTCCAGAACCATCTGGCAACAATAGAGCTGTGTGTGTCATATGGCTTAGCCTGCATTACCCAAACTAGCATCTTCACCTCAGGTGGGATGGAGGATGCTGTCTTGTACAGGGGACGCTTGGGTTGCGAACGTGATCCATGAGGGATGCACGTATGCAACCTGCAGCGTTCGCAACCCGTGTCTGCATGTCTGTGCACGCACGGGTTGTGATTCGGTGCTTCTGTGCCTGCGCAAAGCATGATTTAGCGCTTCTGCGCATGTGCGACTGCCAAAACCCAGAAGTAACCCATTCCGGTTTTGGCAATTCACAACCCAAAAAAACGCAACCTGAAGCATCTGTAACCCAAGGTATGACTGTATTCCGTGTAGAACTAAGGTTGATCTGTCAGCTTGCTTCTGTATGTGAAATGTGTCCCAGAATTTCGACTGATGGGTGAAGTCTTTGGATGAGCCTGCCTTGCAGCAACATCCTAAACTAGGTGGTCATCTCAATGCTGCACTTAATCAAACTCAAGGCATGCCTGTGAAGTCAATGGCTGTTGGGTTAAAATCCAAATACTTCAGCTTACCTGGACTACATTGGGCTTTGAAGTGTGTAGATGTGACGTCTTCTAACGGAAAAGGCATGTGTGACAGTCTTTAAGGTTTGCCAGTGAAAGACATTGTACCTTCAGAAAAAGAAAAACAAATTTTAGCTTAATGGTCACAAGGCATTCTGATGGACATCCCCCTCTTGCCCTGTGCTGATTAATTAGCCTTGAAGAAGCAACAGTGCCTCTAGCAGAGTTAGTTCCGAAAAATGAAATTCATATTCCAAAAGACTGTACTTCTGTCACTTCCCGGTTCATGTCTTTTGCTTAAAATGCTCTTTTAAAAAAAATAAATCTGCCAGCGTTCAGTTAAAACGAGGAACAGTGCTTAGTGAGAGCAGGGAGAGGCTAAGTGCAAACAAGAGTGTGAGAGGGTCTCTTGCTATTTACTGCTTTACTATTAAGTTAAAAAAACAACAACCCACATTTGCTCTTGTGGATCAAAGCATCTTACAAAGTTTTAGAAGATATTATATCCTTGAAACTACGTGGGAGAATGCAAACATAGATGTTGATAAAATATATAGATATAGATCATATATATAGAAATATAGAAGTGTGTGTGTGTGTTTGTGTGTATTACTGGCAGCACAGTTTGGGCTTTACTGAAATCTGAGGCTCTGCTTCAAACTGGGTCAGAGCTGTGACATACTATTAGAATAAATACCAGCTGTAACACTAGATTCTAGAACGGGGTGGGGATCCTTTTTCAGTCTTCTGGGCAACCTTCCAGCAGCCATATGCCCATGGTAGGTGTGGCCAGGGGTAGAAGTGGGTGGAGCAACAAACTGAATTTTACCCTTGTACAGTAGGCTAGTCTCTACACATGCTCAAACAATCCTATCTAGCATCCACCCAGGCAAGCAAGAGTCGTCATTAGAGTTAACAGACAGCTTTGTTGAGTCCCCCTTTCCAAGCAAAACTTTATGACTGTTATGTACTGAGTTGAATAGGATCCAAATTGCAGCAGTCTGATTGGTCCTAGAACAATAGGATTCAGAATGCAGCAGTCTGATTGGTCCTAGAACAATGCAGCAGTATGATTGGTTGGCAGGAACCACCCAATCATGCTCCAGATATAAGTGAATCCACAACCTGATTGGCTTACAGTAGAATTCCAGAATTAGCCAATCATGTGCAGCCCATTGTGTAAATAATGTATATAAAGCAGATACTTTGAGGGGACTTTTATTCATTCCTCCTCATCTCTATGAGCTGAATAAAGAGCATGAAATCACTTTGCGACTCTGAGTATATTTCAATGACAATGTATTGCGGGGAACAATATATGTTATGAATCCAGCCTCTTTAGCTTAGGGCAAATCCCAATTTGTGGAGGCAGCTAGAATAGGTAGGGCAACTTCATGCTGTTAAAAGTTTTTTTATTTGTCTATTAGACTAATAATAGACACAGATTTCTGGATTATATAATCTATCTAGTTTATCGTTTTACAAATATTTTAAAAAATTCTACACTTTTTGAAAAATCCTTGTTTGGTCTATGTACAGTGGTACCTCAGGTTACATAAGCTTCAGGTTACATACGCTTCAGATTACAGACTCCGCTAACCCAGAAATAATACCTCAGGTTAAGAACTTTGCTTCAGGATGAGAACAGAAATCGCGTGGCGGCAGCACAGCAGCAGCAGGAGGCCCCATTAGCTAAAGTGGTGCTTCAGGTTAAGAACAGTTTCAGGTTAAGAACGGACCTCCAGAACGAATTAAGTACTTAACCTGAGGTACCACTGTACATTAATTTATGCATTCCTGAATCCAGCCAGCTTGCCATGGTTGCAGCAAAGTTATTAGCATCACAGCTGCGTAATGATGTCATCAAATCATAGAATTGTGGAGTTGGAAGGGATGCTGAAGATCATCAAGTTCAACCTACTGCAATGCAGGAATATTCAGCTGTCCCATACGAGGATCGAACCTGCAGCTTTGGTGTTATCAGCACCACGCTCTAACTAATTGAGCTATCCAGGCATATCACCTTACCTAAACTGGATGTTAAGATGTAGTTGATGATAAATCCTTACTTCCCACTGGATAATCAAAGTTTCGGTCTCATTACCTGACTGTGGAATTTCCCCTATTTTTTCCTGACATCTTGCTCATATGCATATAATTAATAAAGAATGGGGTGGTTTTTTTGGTTGGGATAGTAATCTAGCTAAGTGTTAAAAGAACTAATTAGTAATTTGGTCATCTATCCAGCAGATTAACTGGTCAATTACGTAAAACTCTGCTCAAATGGTTGAGCACATTATCTCTCCAAATGTCAACAAGACAATTGTTGATTAACCAAAAGCAGCACTCAATAATAATGAATTAGCAAAAAGCAAAATAGTAGTATTAGGACAGTGATGCTGCTGTCAAAACCTCCTTAGCTTGGAGGGCATAGATAAGGAAGAGGTATCTATGGAGCTACCAGTTCTGCCTATGAAGCAGGCAGGCCCAAGTACAGAAACCAGGATGTTCTAGGGCCAGGGAGTGTCTGAGTTGGTCCAGGATCTTTCAGGTCCTGAGCCAGCCCCACTGCTATCACTTGATGGCATAGGGTCCAATCTGAGACCAAGCATTGCAACCAGCCCTGGGCTGCCCCACTTTCTGCCCCAACTGTCATGAGCAACAGGGCGCCACCATTTTGTCATGTCCTTCTGCTGGCCAGCAGGATTGCCCTGATAGTCTTCTTAAAAATGCTAAATCCTCTTTCAAACAGAAATTCCAAGAATAAAGAAAAAAATATAGTCCTTATAATTCTTTGTGCATGTTAATCTTGCAGAGCGGGTAAATAAAATATTGAGATCAAGGTTAGTGGTGGCTCAAATATGTTAGTGATAAGCTCACACTGAGAATTTGTTAATAACCTAAAGTCCAGTCAAGCAAAACCCTTTAATCAGTTAGTTGTTCTTACTTTCTCATCCTTAATTACTAGCAAAATACCCATATCTTCATCCTTAGTTTGTTAAAGAAGTTCAGCTCGGTTCAAGATATTAGTAAAAAGTAGTTAATTAAATTTGGAATAAAACATTCATTCTTCTTGGAAATTCATTAGCAGCGGTCCCAGAGGAATACATCCCTTGTTAGTAATAAAAGGAGCTGAGTTTGTATCTTCACCACAGCAGCACATACCATTCCACCTTCCATCTATTGACAGTCCTGTTTATGCTTCTCAGAAGCTCCCTCCTAGCAATTCTCCTCCTCCTCCATGTGCCAAGCTGTTACCCACATTGTGTGATGCTTCATGTGGTTTAGCACATGCTGCACTGCAAGCCATGGCTTGTTCGGGGTGGGGGGTGATCCCCAAACCTCCCCAGACACACCTATTCTCCTCTGTCCCCCCAGCTCACCTGAGCAAGACCTCTGAGTCCATGGGTTGTTGCAAAATACAGGCCACAGTGGAGAAAGATCCTCTTGTCATTCCAAGATTTCTTTTAAAAACCCGAACATATAATTTAAATGGAAAGGACACTCTTATCTTATCTGGGTTATTATGTGCAATCTTTCCAAGAAAGCTCCGTGTGTGATCATAGTTATTTGCTTTGCAGAAGGGGGGAGCGTAGGAAGATGAGATGCATCCTCCCACAATAAAAAGGAGAGCATCAAAAGTGTCGGTAACAGCAGGAGAACTGTGAGAGTTTTGAAACTGCTTGCATACACTCATTTCTCTTTTTTTTAATTGCTTTGATCTAGTGAAGGGTCTGTGTTATGTGCTCAGAAGCCTGAAGAGAGCACCTACGATCTTGCATGTATTTTGCAGCTTTAATCACATGGGGATTCGTCACTATATTCCAAATCCCCATACAAAGTTATTCTTAACATGCTTTAATGTTGCTGTTTTCCTCCAATGAAAAGTAAAAGGAATCGGCGGGCTGCGCTGCCTGCCCCATGTGGAAAACTGTCGGGAAATGGTGAGACTCTGAAGAGCTGTTCATACGTGATGAGGACTTGGTGTTTTAATTCCTTTAGTGCTAACACCTCCAGTGGCAGCTAAAGAAGCAGTTTGCTAATTGGAACTATCCATCCATCAGTATGAGGTGATCAAGTACCAGGAGATGGTGGCAGAGGCCAGGGACATGCCAATCATCACTGAAATTGATTGGCAGTAGATCAAGCACCAGGTGGATCAGGCCTCTCAGTTTTTGACTGATTTTGGAGTAAGGCCAGTTTTGTTTTGTAGCTTTGGCTTCTGTCATTTAATAGGAGACATGATAGAGGCAAGGGCTATGGCACAGGGTTCAACTGAGGCCTGAATCCCAAGCCAAATGAAAGCCTATTCAGAGACACCTGGACCTCATTCGAGTTGGGCTGAGAAACCTGATCACTACGCATTGGGTTGAGTGGCCCAGAGCCATCCAGGGCCATCAGGGCACCAGACAGGAAGGGGAAACCACAAAAACAAGGATTCTAGCAGACAGCACATCTTCACAGGAAAAGGTAGGGGTTGCCTTTCCCACCAGGCCTCTCATTCTTGCTTTCCCACAAAGCATCACCACACAGAATCTGATCCTTCTGCAGTTAAGCAGGAAGACCTGCTCCTTCCTACATTCTGCAGTGCACCATCTCCCAACCATATTTTCAAACCCAATTTTAACTGTATGCTAACTCCTGTTTTCCTCATCTGTCATTACTGCTGATTTAAGAAGCTCGTGGCAACCATACAGCACATGATGGACATGCCATCATTTAGCAACAATAAAATACCACAGTCATGCACCTGTAGGCTATCAGTACACATCTCATGTGACCAAACGTCCTTCAGATCCAACCTTTACTATATATTGTGTGTGCAATAACAGTTGGCCAGCTATTCGCTGTACACAAAGACTTTGCACCTCAATAAAACTGTGGTATATACACCAGGCCTTCCAGACATCTCCAACAAATATTTATAATGGTTGGAATGAGAATGTCAAGGGAAAAGACATTTGCTATGCATGAGGAAACCTTGTATTAGAACAAACTGTTTGCATGCAGAAAGGACTGTGTGGTATTGATATAACATACCCTGAATAACTTAAGTCCACGATATATTAAGGACTTCCTGAGTCCTTATATCCCAGTTTGACCCCTGAGTTCAAATGGAGGAGCACTATTATTTGTCCCCCATGTTAGAGAGCCCAAACTGGCCTCAAAGAGAAGTCAAGCATTGAGTGTCATCAGTCCTATGCTATGAATTGCTCTTCCAGTAGAGATTCTGCAAACATCCTACACTTGGACTTTTTGCCCTCTTTTGAAGACGGCCTATACTGTTGTTTAAGATTTTCTTGGGTAGCCAGTCATTTTAACAATTGTTCTGTACAGCTTTTAAACTGCCCTGATGTTTTGAGAGAAGGTGGTACACAAATACTTTTATATATAAGTATAGCACAGAAACCGGGACTATTTTCTTATCTACTCTCCTTAATAAAACAAACTAAGCAGGCGAATGAACCTCCACATTTTTCATTAATAAAGGGATAGAAAGATTAAGAAGCCCTTTTCTCCCGACTGGTGAAATGACATATGGTAATTTGCCATGCATAGTAGACTGGGAAACAGCTTTCATTATAATAAACCTCCAAGTAGTCCTGTTGGAAGTCTGCCAGTATTTTAATTAACAAACCTGTCATATGTTTGGGTCATTTATGCCCACTTTGTAGACCAGAGAAAAATGGATTTCATATTTAGTTCTCCAGCTGATGGGTACTGCTGTGCTATAGTTATGCTTCACACAAGCACTCAGTAACAACCGTCTGTTATTACTCTAAATGAAATTATTTCAACTTGCACACTGCTTACTCATTTGCCCTTGACATGTTATTTGTGACCTTAAACATATGAAAACAATTCTGAGCAAGGTTTTCGCTGCCGCCCAGGCACCAATGTTTGAATCCTGATTGTTCTGGAGGATAAAAGCCAGGGCTTTTTTCCCCAGCTGGAAGTCAGTTCTGGCACCTCTCAGATGGGCACCATTGCCATTCTGCGACGATGAGGGAAGCGTTCATGGTGAGTTCCGGCACCTCTTTTTCTAGAAAAATAGCATTGGCAAAAGCAGTGTTATGTCAAGCAAGGCTGGAACTAGGTGCATAAGAATCCTCATCAAAATGCCCTTCCGTACCTAGTGCAGACCCCAGTTAGGATGGCTGAGCAGACATCACTAAAAAGAAGACAAGAAATAATACGTAGTCGAAATGGAGAATCCCAAGCCTAGGGTCAAAATGTGGTCCTTTCTTGTGTAAAAATAGAGTAAAATGGAGATGTGAGCACATAAAGGTAAAGGGAGCCCTGACCATTAGGTCCAGTTGCGGATGACTCTGGGGTTGCAGCGCTCATCTCGCTTTACTGGCCGAGGGAGCCGGTGTACGGCTTCCGGGTCATGTGGCCAACATGACTAAGCTGCTTCTGGCGAACTAGAGCAGTGCACGGAAACGCTGTTTACCTTCCCGCCGGAGCGGTACCTATTTATCTACTTGCACTTTGACGTGCTTTCGAACTGCTAGGTTGGCAGGAGCAGGGACCGAGCAACGGGAGCTCACCCCATCATGGGGATTTGAACCGGTGACCTTCTGATCGGCAAGTCCTAGGCTCTGTGGTTTAGACCACATAGAAACATGAAAATGTTTGTGTGGACGTTTCTTAAAGAAGAATTCACAAATTGATATGCAAATGGATTGAACTGGAAAGCTGAGAAACTGAAATTGACTGATTTGTGCTGCAGGTTCCCCACGGAAAGCTAGTCCTTCCTGTACTCACTCTCCAGTCTATTTATTAACTGTCAGCCCATCCTACAGCATTCTATCACTGAGGTCTGGGAGGGAAAATCAAAATCAGGCATGCACATCCTCCCAGCTCTATTATCTGGGAAATGAGCATTTTTTCTCATCTCTGTTGGGCTTCCAGATGCATGAAGTGCAGTGGGGAAGGAGACAGGGGCATGCTTAACTTGTCTACCTCCACTGGCCTATTCACCCATTTATTAACCTTTCCCTCAGCATTCCACC